TAGTCGGGTTTTGGACGTAGATTGGTATAATGATGTCTCTAGTAAAAGTGACGACGATGTGTTTTTGCTAATAAGTGCAAGTTTACTTAATATTAAATCAAAGAAGAAGAAGAAACGCAGGTATTGGATACATTCTATAGTAAATGAATGAAAAAATACAGGAACGTTTTACACGTCAGTTATGAACTTAAATATGGCCCAAAAAAGCAGCTTTCGAAATAAAACTGTGGGTAACCTCTTCCCAAATTTGTTTTTTTTTCTCTATTTTATAATAATAATATAATAATAATATGATAATAATCTAATAATTATATAAACACATATTCCAAATTGCTGGCCGTGTGTTAAGTTCGGTAATTAATTTATCGATGTCTACAACTTCCATAATATATACAAAATTTGGCAAACACTCACAAAAGTAACCAAATAAAACCGCAGCAAAACACACGTCTGTATTGAAGCACGAGATATATATTACGGATGCGCCGCCGGAAGTCATAAAACCGCCGACAGCGCATGATACTCAGCATAGGCCGCGCGGCGGCCGACGCGGCGAGCTGAGGAACGACGGCTCGTCTGTGTTGCACAACATAAGTACCATAGACAAGAGACCGCTTTCCTGTCTATGTTTAACCTTATAGTCTCACCCCTTTATGTACGCTCTACAATTATTAATGCAGAACTGTCTGATCATGAAGCAGTGTTTATACCAAGTTTAAAACTTTTAACAAACCATCCTCGAAAACCTAACGTTTAGGTAGGATTTTTTCCGCTAAGAACTTTCGTAAATTCCAAAATTTGTGCTTTTTCTGGGTGGCACTTTCCTCTGTGGATGTGGACTATGATTTCAGTGATTTTTTAGATAGGCTTCTCTATATTTTCAATGAGGCGTTTCCTTTAATTATAATTAAGTCAAAACATCACAAATCCTGGACTATCAGAATATGCGTTCACTACTGTACATCAAGAAATTTACCACCAACTTCTTTGTCACTGAATATATATCCAAGTAGAGAGAAACTTATCTAAAACTTATTAAAACAGCTAAAAAATGTACTATCACAATCGACTGGGAAGCTCTAAAAATGTTGCAAGAAAAACTTGGACCATAGTAAACGATCTTTGAAATAAAACTAACATAGCTCAAACATTTTCTCTTCCAAACCCTGAAAATCTAAATGAATACTTTGTTAACGTAAGTAAAAATATATCATCAACCATTTTGCCACAAAAACATCCTATTTCCCGATCTCCCCAATTCAAAAAAGGTGTCTCGATTTCATTGTTTATAAGACCACTTGTATGTATCTTCAATCCTCTATCAATCTTCCTGTAGTATTGATGAATTCTATCTAATTAGCCTTCTTCGGTCCATTTTGGACATAGGCCTTCCCAATCCTTTTCCATTCTTCTCTATCTGTCGCTACATTCATCCATCTAGAGCCCACGTGCTTCTTGATATCATCTGCATATCTCATTTGGGGCCTTCCTCTGCTACGTTTATATTCCCACGGTCTCCAACTTATAAGAATTTTGTTCCATCGGTCTTCTTTTTGTCTTATATTGTGTCCGGCAAATCTCCATTTCAATTTTGCAACTTCTTGTCTAACATCCCTCACTTTTGTTTTCTCTCTTATCCACTCGTTTCTCTTCTTATCCATTAGTCTTATATGCAACATTTGTCTTTCCATTGCTCTTTGGGTTTTTATGATTTGGTCCATGTTTGCTTTTGTAGATGTCCACGTTTGGGAACCATAAGTAAGAACAGGGAGTACGCATTGATTATATACTTTGGTCTTAAGATGCTGTGGATATCTTTTGTTTTTAAGAATGTAGCTTAGTTTGCCAAATGCCTCTTGTTGGTTGGCCAAAAACTCGTCTCTTGATCTCTACTGTTTGGTTCTCTTTGTTAAGTTTTATAGTTTGACCAAGATATATATATATATATATATATATATATATATATATATATATATATATATATATATATATATATATATATAATCCTTAACTTGTTCTATTTCATCTTGTCCGATTCTCATTGTGATGCCTTCATCTGTATTTGTTATAGTTTTGGTCTTGCTGTAATTCATATTAAGGCCTATCTTTCCAGCTTCTACGTCCAGTTCTTTCATCATTTCAAATAATTATTCTTTTTTATCGGTTATCAATACGATGTCATCAGCGTACCTTAGATGGTTCAAGCGTTGTCCACAAATGTTTTATACCTTTTTTTCCCATTCTAATCTTTTAAAAATATCTTCAAGATCCTGATTGAAAAGTTTCGGTGATATTGTATCACCCTGTCTCACGCCTCTACTTATTTGTAATGATTTTGTTCCTTCATATACTTTAATTGTTGTTTTGGCTTCCTTATATATATTGGTTATTAGTTCCGTATATCTGTGGTCAATTCGGCTGTTAATCAAAAAACTTTTCACTGCCCAATGTTCGACACTGTCGAAAGCCTTTTCGAAATCTATGAATGCCATATATAGAGGAATGTGGTATTCATTTGCTCGTTCTATAAGTATTTTCATACTTAGTAAATGGTCACTTGTGCTGAATCCCTTTCTAAAACCAGCTTTTTCTTTCGACTGGTATCCATCCACCTAACCAATAGATTGACGACAAAATTCGATGGATTGATGGATTATTCATAAAAATTTTCTTAAATCTCTTTCAAAAAATGTGTTGGAAGTCCTGGTCTCACTAATTAATGAGTCTGTTGAAAAAAATATATTTACAGAGTGCCTAAAGACAGCCATTATTATTCCTCTTCATAAGGATGGTGAAAAATCGAATGTCTGCATTTACAGGCCTATTTCCTTACTACCGATCCTATCAAAACTTATTGAAATATTTATAAAAGCCCGACTTGTGTCTTTTCTAGTTGAAAACAACATTTTATCACAAAGTCAGTTAGGCTTTTTGTCTCATAAATGTACCAGTGATGCTATGTTTTCTATACTACATGAGTTCTATTAAGCACTAAACAATAACCTTTACACTGCCACTGTTTGTTGTGACTATACCAAAGCTCTTGATTGTGTAAATCACGACATTTTAATAAAAACACTAAATTTCTACGGAATTCAAGGTATTTCTTTGAATTGGTTTCAATCTTACTTTAGAAATAGGCAACTACTATTTAGATCAAATGATAATGACTCTAGTCACAAAAGCAGTATATCTGTACCTCAGAGTCAGACGAACGTAAGTCCAAAAATTTTGATTTTCGGGTTTTTGATGTCTTGTATGTAAAATTTAATTCTACATCGAGCCATAATAAAGTAACTCCTTTAAAAATTATACTTTCCAATTTAGCCAAGGTTATAAGAGCGTAAGTCCTTACCCATATCAGAGCCAGACAAACGTAACTCCACTTACTACATATTGTTTTGTATAAGAACTAAGACAGTTAATAGGCAACATCAGAGACACGGAACAAGAAAGAACAAATCTGAAAGTCATTCGTTTTTTTTAATTACATAAAAAAGAGGAAGTAATTTGCAAAATGTTCTTCTTAAATACACTTTCAATTTCAGAAACTTTCATGAGAGTAGCCATAAAAAAGGCCAGTGCATCTGGATTGGTAACTACAGACCTTGGGGTAAAACATATGCCAGTTAATAAAATAACTATAGATAGACTAAAATAAATCAAAAATCATATTTCAAACTTCCTTGTATATGAAAGCCACTACAGCAGGTAAAGGTCTCAACGAAAATATTTGGGAAATCACTTGAACATTTCTATAATATACGCATTGTATGAGGAAGAGTGTAAAAAAGAACAAGTTAAACCAGAATAAGCGTGGATTTATTCTTAAATTTTTAATGAAGATTTCAACTTGTCTTTTCATTCACCAGACAGCGATACATGTGATGTTTGTGATAGACTAGGTTACTCTCTACATACTCGTGAAGTCGAGTAATGTAGTGTGAATCTTTATATTCGAACTTCGGTCCCTTTGATAGCGGCTTCCCACGGTCGGCGATATTGCGGACGTAAGCGGACCAGCCCGCACCACGCACCGTGGGAAAGGTCTCGTCCGTGGTAGCACAGGCACGTCTGTGCTGGTCCGTCCTATCCATCTAGAGTCGGTAACATCAAAGGTGCGGTACATGCTCGTGCGACGCGATCCTAGCGCGTCTGTGTTTTAACAGACGACAAGTGCAAGTCAGAAGTTTTTCAATCACTGACACGAGTAGTTGTTTGTAGTGTTGTCAAAGTTGTTTTTCAGTTTTTTTGCTAAAAAATCGAATGAACAAAGTTATTTTTGATTTTTTAAATTTGTATCAAAATGAACCAAGTTTATGGAATTCCATGGCGTCAGAGCATAAGAACCGGAACGATTCATACGATATATGGAACTGAATAAAAAATCAATTGAAGAATAGTACTATTTCGATTAAAGAATTAAAAAAGAAGAGAGATAATTTAATGCCGACATACAGAAGGCAATGATGTTTACAAGCCTGAGTGGCCTTTTTATTATATAATCAAACATTACTGTCACGGACCTACACAGACTGTCACGGACCGTAGAAAGAGCTCTGTCTGCGGTGCGTTGTCGTCCGTGCTGATCGGCTATCCGCGATCATCTGTAGAATCGCCGATCGTGGGAAGCCACATTGACCCTGACGCGAAAAACCTACTCAGATCATGCGACTTCGGCGAAGCGAAGTCTCATGAAGTACCTGTTTACACTCTCGTACTAGCTGAACTTCGATTAACTTCACGAGTAGTATAGTGGCCGCTTTAGAATTATTTTTTAGGATATTTAAATGATAAACGAGATAAAAAGGTTTTTTCTTTTAACGTTACCTTATCGTTGTCTAATTGATATATTATTTATAATATAATTCATTAACTTACAAATAACTAAAAAGTGATCTAATATCTGCACACTTTACATAATATTCATTAATTTTGAAAAGTTATTACTATCTAATTAACAAGAATAATTTTTTAATCCTCTTTTTTTTTTGTTTCAGGTGACGGTTGTTTCGAGAAACCTTTAACAACTTTATGGCGAAACTACACCCAATCGTCTCGTCCAGACGTCCGCATGCAGCTGACAGTAAGCGGAGGCGGGCTAAAAGCCACAACCAAGGATCACGGACTTACCGAATATTGGGCAAACCGTCTGACGGCCTGTGGAGCCCCGTCGCAATTTCCTCGGCTCTTCTGCTGGGTCTACCGACACGAAGGCAAACGACTACGACACGAACTGCGATGTCATGCGGTGCTTTGCTCTTCTTCTGCCATAGCGAAGCAAATCGAAGAAGAACTTAAAGAATCGCTGGCGCTGGCGCTTCTGGAATTTAAGCGGGAAAAACTTTGCAGGCAAAACGCAAGGCTTTCTCTAGTCAACTCTGTCTACGAAAATCCCACAATACCGAGAAGAAAGATTTTACTCAGTACGGGTTCACACAATTATAGACCGCCGTTGGAGCGATCGAAATCAGCTCCAAAATTAATGAGCATAGAAGAAATAATTGAAGAAGAAGACGACGTGTTTCATGATTCCAAAGAGAGCATTACGCTTAAAAAGCTTCTTAACCATTGCAATAGTTCTAGCAATGTATTGGATAGAAGGAAATTGTATATTCTGAGTACCATTAGAAGTAATAGCAATCCAGCACCTGTAAATGAAAAAAACTGTGATGAAACAGTCAATACAGATAGGAGAGAAGAAACAGAACATCTTATGCTTGATGAAAAAAGTGAAGTCATTTTGAACGAGTTGGTGGAAAATAGTCTAAAAAACGATCTGCTCGAATCTTGTGAAAAAGCATGGTTCAACGCCTTAGGTCAAAAACCTGACTTAATACCAATAGAAAGCGACGAAGGTTCTCTCTCGAGCGGTTGTGAATCAGCAGGTACTGCAGTTTCTGAATCAGAACCGGTATTCCCCACTATTAATGAATTAGAAATACTAGAAGAAGAAGATCAGGAACTCGAAAAAAAGACTGAGTTGGATTTTAAAGTTGGCGGTGCTGTTTTATCCAGGGTGCGGAGCTTTGAAAGGTTATCGAATCCTGATCTTCTTAAATATTGCGGTATAAATAACAAAAAACAGTTTTTGGATCAAGAGGAAGTATCTTTAGTACCTGTAGGTGAAAGTCAAACCGACTTCAGTTCTTTAAAGGTATTTAAAAGAAGAACGCTTTCTGATCCTAACTACAGGAGATTGAGCGACAATGGATCTGATGATGAAAATGGAAGTGCTTGTAGCGACGAAAGCGGGTATGAAGAGGAAGAAGTGGCAAGTTCGATAGGGAATATAGTATTAGTCTGAGATTGTACTGTGATTGTAGATAGAACTAAGTTATTGTAGTTGGTAGAACTGTAGAATTTGACATAATGAAGTAAGAATTATATATGTATTAAATACAAAATACATAAAATCGGATTTACTAGAAAATTATCAAAGAAAAATAAAGAAATCAAGAATAAATTTATATAAATAAATAGTGAGCTTAAGTAGTATTAGGTCAGTAGAACCATGTTGTTTGAATAAATAAGAAAGTCGATCAATTAAGACATTATTGAAAGTATTTGAAGTTATTTTAACTTTTGATTAAGTGTAATCGTTCCTTAATAGTGTAATGTAGTTGTGGTATAGTATAAGATTCTGAATACACTTTTCGCTTAGATCTGCTGTCAGCAATAAATGCAACATTATTGTTTCCATCATTATCATTGTTGCGTTAACCAACCAGATCTTTGTTTGCCTCTTTTTAGCAACTTCTGCGACTTAAGCAATAAAAAAACAAAAAAAAACGTGTTAAACAAGTTCCAAAGATTTTATAAAAGTCCAGGAAGAATAATACAAACGTAGAGCCTAGGATCTTTAATGAACGGCTCGTAAAGGTTCAGTTTCATCAGGATTTCTAGGCCGTGTATAGGAATTTTAATATTCCTGGGATAAAGAGTGGTGCAGGAGTGTACATAAACTTGACCACGTATCGTTTCCTTCATTAACTGATGTGAGATAACGTCTATATAACATCATAAGGTCGAGAAAACACAAGCATGTGTGCTGGAGTTTCACATGACCTAGGGTTTCACGTAATCTTGCATGGATCACACTTGTTAAACACACACTTCTAAGACGATCTTGAATGTATTGATATACTTAAGTAAATCTTTTTAGATAGCTCTTAGCTAGAGCACCATAAACCGGAGGAGCGGTATGTTCTTCGGGATAAAAGTCAATAGAACGCTTGTAGATAGAACACTTAACAAGTCAGCAAAGCAACACCTCTTTGTTGGTTCAAAACTCGAGGAATAATCTTTTGTAAAGGACAGAGGTATCGAAAAGTGTGAATTTTTGGTGGCTAAGACTGAAAGAACACTTATAAATATATTTAGAAAAATATAGCTGTTCAATAGAAATAACTGTTTTTGAATTGTCGGAAACCAGTCATTTTTAAGGCAAATCCAGTACATTTCTCACATATTTATCAAAATACATAGTATTAACAGCGTCGTCACTTTTTTAGAGTAAATTTACTTACAATTCAGTTTTAATTACAACATATGAAACAATTGAAATTGTTTCGTATGTCAAATAAAATTTAAATAAATTGTTGATGTGTCTCTACTGGCACTGGTTTCGTTCTAGATAAGGCGAAAAGCTTGGGTTTGTAAAAGAAAAAAATACTCCCATCAAATTTTACGGCTAATACAATTTTTTTATGTGTTTTGGATCTTTCTGAACAAAAAAGTTTTCTTATAATTTTTTTTTCGAAATTTAATCATTTTCGAGTTATAACAATATAAAACTGAAATAAAGCATTTTCAAAGCTCAAAAACACAACTAAAAAATGTTATATTTGAAATCATCAAGGGTCTACTTCAAATAATCTTCTATCAACTCACTATGAGTATTTTGGGCATACTTTATTTTCAAATATTATCTTTTAATTGTTTTATGAATGGTTGAATTTAGACACTTGGTGATTTCAAAAATAATAGTTTTTAACTTTGTTAAACACTATTACAAAAAAAACATAAAACAATAATTGTCCAATCCGAAAAAGTTGATTTATACAATTAAAAAAATTCTTGAACCTTAAGTACGTAGCACACAGTCAAATATTTGATCAAATTGCTTTGATCATATAAACTGAGTTAATGACGTCATAATTGCAGTTTGTTAAAATTTTAAAAATCTACCTTTCAAAAGAGCATTCTAATTGGATCAAATATTTATTGACAGTTGTCTAATGACATATGTCAATGAAATTAATTGTCCATTTTGCTTATTCATTAGATGTTTGTGTCATAGATAAATAATATAATTGGTTTGCGTTTTATTCAAGATTCAAATTTGTCTTATCCACAATGAAAATAAAAAGGCAAAAAGGATTTTTTTTAATAATGTGGATGCTTCACATTATATAAACAGCTGCTTTTATAATTACAATTTTTTTTCTATACAAAATAAATAAGAAAATGATTATTTCTTTCACAAAATTCTAATTTAACCAAAGAAAAAAAATCAAAAATAAATTTTATCATGTCAACTTCATGTATAACTGCTGCGCGCTGATTGTCATTTGTCTTAAAATATTTTCCGACCAATCACAATTAAAGTTTGTTCAAACTGTCCTTGAAAAATAGAAGATCCTCTATTTTTTTTAGGTGATATGATATGGTCGAATTCAGAATGTGATTGCGCAAGATATTTTATGGGATTATTTTTTCAAACGAACCCATGCTTTTCCCGAAGTGCCTGAAATGAAATAAGTGATACGGTATTTTCTAAGATGATATTAAAAAATTTTGTAGACAGACACCTCCTCTTCTGTATATTTAAATTCTTTCAATTGTGTTTTAATTCTTCTTCTTCTTTTTTTATAAGCAAAATGCTTGTTCAATGTCGATTAATGCCTCTATTGGAGGTTATCACTCCATCTTTTGCGTGGTCGCCCGATACTTCTTCTACCTCTTGGTGATTTGTCCCTCGCTATTCTGACTAATCGGGTCTCTTCCATTCTGTTTATGTGTTCGTTCCATTCCTTTTTTCTGTTCAGTGTCCACTTATTTATTTCTGGTATATTGCATTTTCTTCTGATCTCTTCACTCCTCATTCGATCCCTCAGTGTGTTTCCTGTAATTCTCCTCAGTAAACGCATCTCCGCTGTTTCTAGTATTTGCGGAGTTTTGGAGTATTTTAATTGTGTCTACCATTTACCACAGCTTGTTTTTTAAAATTATTTGAAACAATCGTTATTGTTTAAAAAATATATAATTTAACTCAAGTAGCATAATGTTATTTAGTTTTGGTGGAATTTATAAAATTAAAATCTTTAACTTTTAAAAAGTGTAAAATCGTAAAATGCTATCCAAGTATAACCCGACAAGCGAGAGCTGGCGGGTTGCGTGTAGAACAAATTGAAAAGTGGAAGGGATTGCTCATTTCTATTGCAGTCGGCTATGAGTTCACATCGTGTATAACCGTTTAAGTACCTATACTATATACCTATAATCGCGATTAAGTACCTCTCCTATCTCTCTTAGAATAATTCCTTTTCTATTTTCGCGCAGCTCACCCGCCAGCTCTCGCTTGTCGGATTATAACAATTTTATTTCGTTTTGATAGATTTTATAAAATTAAAATATTTAAAGCTAATTAATTATAAACACAAATAAACTAATTACAAACAGAAAATAATTAATATCTACATTAAATTTTACGAGAATATATTTTTGTATGCATAATATTGTAAGTTATAAGATTATTTTTATTATGTCAAATCCTATTTATATATATCTTTTTGTTAATTAAACCAATATTTTAGAAAAATGTCAAAATGTATGCTAATTTCAGTATTTATATTTTTAAAAATACAAACAGGATTCGCCAGTTTTTTTAATGTTTTTCAAATTGTTATGCGTAAATAATAAATAGGGATACAATCAAACATTCAAAACTCTAATAAAATAATAAACTACAAAGGATGTCATACTAGGTAGATGAAGCTTTTCAAGTAAAGTAATACTATATTTCTATTTTTTATGGTTTTCTATGGGCATAAAAACGTGTTTCTTCAAGTTTGGCCCGGCAATAAACTGAAACGAGGAATCTAACAATTGCAGTCGGTAATACGTCAACTTATCTAGGCAAAAACCCATCATGAACTGATTTCTAGTACTTATATTACATGAATAAATAAAAAATACCAAAGACAGTTAAGATTTAATTCCAATACAGAGCATCACCATTCGGTTATTATACGTATTTTGTCCTATTGGATTCCTCAGAGCGAACTTGTGGTAAGTTCTCTTGAAATATATGTTTTCCAATTTTGTGGACTGTCTCGCTATGTTTTGCAGTATTATTTCCAATTTCCAGTATCAAGGAACGTTGTTCTCTGTCTTACTCTTCTTTTTTGACCAACTGATCTAGCAAGAAGCCTGTTTCTAGTGAGTCATTTTGTTCCATCCGTATTATATGTTATACACACCTCGGACGTCGTATTTTAATATATTTTAAAATATCTAATTCCTGATATATTCTATAAAGTCCGAAGTTCTATAGTCTTCTCCATACTCCATAGTCATTTTCGTTCTTTCTTTCGAAACATCATAACATTTTTTTACTTTTTGTTAAAGTCCAGGTCTCTGAAATATATGTTAGAACAATTTATAGTATTATATCTGTAGCAAATACTAATCACGTAAATTTTGGATAAGTAATGGATTTAATTGTCTTTGCTATACCAGAATCTACACGGGTAATCTTACAAAGAATTTTAGAATAAGAATATCTTGTAAGTTTTAACTTATTTTTAGACGTTTATTTGAAAAGGTTCATGCCTCGTACGACATCAGATTTATGTATTTATTTTACGTAGTAAGATAATCATCTACTTACCTGGTAGTACTACTTATGTGACGTTACAATTATTAAATATATTTAATAGGTTTATCAAAGATCTGTTGGACTATAATAAACATGGCTTTAAAAACCAAAACGTTACTAGGGACTTAATGTTATAGTGAAACTGAAAATATGTATTATTTTAGTAGTCCGTATTGACTTGTACAGAGAAGAGTCACTAAATGTGAGGTGGTAATTGTATTATTGTTAAATATTGTTATATATGTTTAATACCGATTAATATGGTATATTGTTGTAAATGTTTCATGTAGATTTTACCCATTTATTGTACCTTTTTATATTAAAATTGTAAATAAAACAATTATAATAATTTTGCAAGATTTTGTATTACGCCCCTTAATTACTATTTTATTCAACGTGGCTATTGTCATCTTAATTTGAGAAACCAAAAAAATGCATAAATATGCATACCCACGACCCTTAGTCACAAGATATACAAGATACATATACTAATATGGTTCTGAAGATTATATAGCTGTCAGCTATATAATCGAGAATAATAAGAGGATCGACAAGATTCTTTCCAAGGATCAAGTACAGGTTCAAAAAACCATAAGGTCTTTTAAGGCTTACTTAAAACACCCAAAACGCTAGACCTTTTCCTTCAAAACCACTTCCCAGGGTCAACAATTAATAATGATCAGACATGCTGAAAACCTAGAACGACCTAAATATTTTCTGTCCTACTACAAAAAAGATTGGATATCTTATTGTCCATCATAACAAAGATCTTTAGGGCTAGCATAGCACTAAGATGACGAGAAAACGTCCTACCTAAATCCTACAAAAGGATCAGTCTTGCATCATTTTTGTTTAAGGCAATCAAAAAACTCTTTACATAC